TAAAAAAAAAGCAACTGTTTTATATTTGAAATCTTCAAATGCCCTTGCATACTTTATTTATATATATCAACAGAACTTATCAATCAAAAAGGTATCTTAGAAAATGATGTTTTAATAAAAAAAAAAAGCCACTTTTATATTTGAAATCTTCAAATGCCCTTGCATACTTTATTTTTATTTATCAACAGAACTTATTATTCAAAAAGGTATCTTAGAAAATGATGTTTAATAAAAAAAAAAGCAACTGTTTTATATTTGAAATCTTCAAATGCCCTTGCATACTTTATTTATATTTATCAACAGAACTTATCAATCAAAAAGGTATCTTAGAAAATGATGTTTTAATAAAAAAAAAAAAGCAACTGTTTTATATTTGAAATCTTCAAATGCCCATGCATACTTTATTTATATTTATCAACAGAACTTATCAATCAAAAAGGTATCTTAAAAAATCTTTTAATTAAAAAGCAACTGTTTTATATTTGAAATCTTCAAATGCCCATGCATACTTTATTTATACTTTATTTATATTTATCAACAGAACTTATCAATCAAAAAGGTATCTTAAAAAATCTTTTAATAAAAAAGCAACTGTTTTATATTTGAAATCTTCAAATGTCCATGCATACTTTATTTATATTTATCAACAGAACTTATCATTCAAAAAGGTATCTTAGAAAATGATGTTTTAATAAAAAAAAAAAGTTTTATATTTGAAATCTTCAAATGCCCATGCATTTTTTTTTCTCTTGTTTTATGTTTTGTTTGTATGTCTATATATTCTATTTCCTCCAAGTCAATGTTTTGGGGTTTTTTTGTGGTGGTTTTGTTTTTGCTTTTGAAGTTGATGCCCAGTAAAGTTATACAAACAAAGTGAAAGAACACTTTGATTAAAACACTTGTACTTATATAATAATTATGTATTTCAATATTAGTTTATTATATTTTTTCCCATTAGTGAACTTTTCTTTTTACACTTCTTGTACCTTTTGTTTTTATGAATTATTATCTACTCTTCACTTAAAAAATAACAAATAAAATCCTAGCAAATATTATAGGCTCATATATCGTATTTTTGAAAAAAAAATCACAAATATTAATTAATGAGTAACACAATAAGTATAATAACTATAAATTGTCAAGGTATTGGTTCCCCAGAAAAACGAAAAGATGTCATCCAGTATTACAAACAAAAAAATTTCAATATTCTCTGTTTACAAATGCTATATATTCCAGTAAACAAAGTCAATGCAATTTTGTATTGGCTTAGATTCAACTTGTTAAAGAAATAATTCAAAACAGCCTACCATTTTGTGAACAAGAAATTAAATACTTAAATCCGATGATTTTAATGACGAAATAAAAAATTCAATGTAATTATTACTATTCCAATTATTGGCATTTTATGTTTATAGCCTTGTATCAATAATATTGTCTATCCGTTTGTGCTCATTCTCATTAGGGCTTTATCCAATTTGAGCTAATATTTCCTGTTGGGTCTATAAGCTCGAGCTACCTCAAGTCCAATTTTTTTTCCCGTTTGGAATTTTAGGTTGTAACAAAAAGTTATGTTACGAAAGCACAGCCACAGGCATGTGGGCATGTGAGAGAGAATTGTTTATGCAGTTAGTCTGAATAATAATATAAAATATTTGAAATGGAAAGACATAATCTTCAGAATCTGAAATATATAAGAAGAATACTGGTTCCTACTGCTACATTAATAATCATGGAAATCATAATAAATATTTTTTGCTTGTGGAACTGAATGAAAAGGAATATGCATCACATGCATGTCTAAATACATCAAAAAACATGATTTACTAAATGAAAATAGGATACATGTATCAGATTTTTGGGAGGAAATAATGGCGAGAAAATTATTAAGTTAAAAGGCGTGTGAAGATAGACTTATATGAAGATAAATTTGAAGTTTTGAGACAGCTGGATGCTGCTCCAAAACTTAAATTAAGACCCAATACTCAACTGTAACTGTTGGTCACACTAGCATTGAACCTTACCATAATGTTTAGAAAATACCAACTCGAAGCAACTGTGTTATATTTGAAATCTTCAAATGCCCATGCATACTTTATTTATAATTATCAACAGAACTTATCAATCAAAAAGGTATCTGAGAAAATGATGTTTTAATAAAAAAAAGCAACTGTTTTATATTTGAAATCATCAAATGCCCTTGCATACTTTATTTATATTTATCAACAGAACTTATCAATCAAAAAGGTATCTTAGAAAATGATGTTTTAATAAAAAAGCAACTGTTTTATATTTGAAATCTTCAAATGCCCATGCATACTTTATTTATATTTATCAACAGAACTTATCAATCAAAAAGGTATCTTAAAAAATGTTTTAATAAAAAAGCAACTGTTTTATATCTGAAATCTTCAAATGTCCATGCATACTTTATTTATATTTATCAACAGAACTTATCAATCAAAAAGGTATCTTAAAAAATGTTTTAATAAAAAAGCAACTGTTTATATATGAAATCTTCAAATGTCCATGCATACTTTATTTATATTTATCAACAGAACTTATAATTCAAAAAGGTATCTTAGAAAATGATGTTTTAGTAAAAAAGCAACTGTTTTCTATTTGAAATCTTCAAATGCCCATGCATACTTTATTTATATTTATCAACAGAACTTATCAATCAAAAAGGTATCTTAGAAAATGATGTTTAATAAAAAAAAAAGCAACTGTTTTATGTTTATCAACAGAACTTATCAATCAAAAAGGTATCTTAGAAAATGATGTTTTAATTAAAAAAAAAAAGTTTTATATTTGAAATCTTCAAATGCCCATGCATTTTTTTTTCTCTTGTTTTATGTTTTGTTTGTATGTCTATATATTCTATTTCCTCCAAGTCAATGTTTTGGGGTTTTTTTGTGGGGTTTTGTTTTTGCTTTTGAAGTTGATGCCCAGTAAAGTTATACAAACAAAGTGAAAGAACACTTTGATTAAAGCACTTGTACTTATATAATAATTATGTATTTCAATATTAGTTTATTATATTTTTTCCCATTAGTGAACTTTTCTTTTTACACTTATTTTGTTTTTATGAATTATTATCTACTCTTCACTTAAAAAATAACAAATAAAATCCTAGCAAATATTATAGGCTCATATATCGTATTTTTGAAAAAAAAATCACAAATATTAATTAATGAGTAACACAATAAGTATAATAACTATAAATTGTCAAGGTATTGGTTCCCCAGAAAAACGAAAAGATGTCATCCAGTATTACAAACAAAAAAATTTCAATATTCTCTGTTTACAAGATAACCACTTTAACGAAAAAGATGAAAATAAAATAGAAATCAAATGGGGTTTTAAATGTATCTCCAATTCATTCTCGTCCAATTCTCGAGGTGTGGCTATCTTGATAAATAATAATATTGAATTTAAGATAAAAACTATCAAAAAGGATGAAAGGTGGAAAATTTAATATTCAGTTTGATCAATATTTATGCACGAAATAAAAATGACCCAAACTTTTTCGAACAGATTAGAGTATTTATATTAGAAGCCGGCAATACTTTTTCAGTTGTTTGTGAGGACTTTAACCTAGTTATGGACCCTGCTCTTGATACATATAATTATCTCCATATTAATAATCCAAAAGCAAGACAAAATTTATTTCAGATTATGTCCGATTGCAAACTTACTATTTCTGAATATTAAACCCAAAATTGAAAAGATATACATGGCGTAAAAATAAACCAAAAAAACAGGCCAGACTTGATACTTTTTAGTATCAGAAAATTTTACAAATCATATTAAAAAATATTAAAATAAATGCAGGCTACAGATCCGACCATTCTACTGTACAGTTAGATTTAGCTATAAATAAATTTAAACATGGTAAGGGACTCTGGAAATTAAACAGACTTAAATTAAAGTCTTTTTCAGGACAAAGAGTATATTGATTCTATAATCAGTAAAATTAAACAGATCAAAAAACAATATGCTATTATTCTATACAATCAAGATAATATTGAAAAAATTGATGAGAAGAATCTACAATTTGATATCTCTGATTCTGCTTTCTTCTCAACATTACTCATGGAATTAAGATCTATATCCATTAGCTATTCTATATATAAAAAAACGAGAACAAAATAAAAAAGAACAAGAATTAATAAATAAAATAGAAAACCAAAGATAAAAGGTGAAATGATACGTTCAAAATCTGCATGGATTGAAGATGGAGAAAAACCATCTTAATTTTTTTGTAACTTAGAATCCCATAATTACACTAATAAAACTTTTCAATTTATCAAATTAAACTCAGGTAGGATAGTAGAGGATCAAAAGGAAATTCTAAATGAGATTAAAATCTTTTATTCTAATTTATATGATAGCAGAAATACTGAAATTATAGACCGTAACCTGAATGAATTACTAGAGAATTGTAATGTTCGTAAATTAAATAACAACCAATCCATCCCTTTAAAATGCGAAATTACAGAAACTGAATTGCAAAATGTACTAAAAAAAATGAAATCTGACAAAACTCCTGGTTCAACTGGTTTTCCATCAGAATTCTATAAACTGTTTTGGCCACATCTTAAAACTTTTATTCTAAGATCTATACATGAGATATATAATACACAAACTTTACCTATAAACCAAAGATTTGGTATTATTACTTGTATCCCCAAAGGAAATAAACCTCGCGAAAACATATAAAATTGGAGACCCTTTACTCTTTTAATTGTATTTTACAAACTGTTATCTGGTTGTAATGCTTATCGTATAAAATCTGTGCTAAATATCCTAATATCTGATTCTCAGACCAGTTTTATAAGTGGTCGTTACATAGGCGAAAATACCCGCTTAGTTTATGACTTAATGAATTTCACAGAAAACCATGATATACCTGGACTGTTATTATTAATTGATTTTGAAAAAGCCTTTGATTCTGTGGCCTGGTCATTTGTTAATGAAATATTGGATTTTTTCAAATTTTGTCAAAATATTAAAATTTGGATCAATATTCTGAATAAAGATATAAGAGCTTCTATTGTTCAAAATGGAATTTTATCAGAACCTTTTACATTCTTAAGAGGATGTCATCAGGGAAACCCAATTTCACCATATATACATATAGTTTACATAATTTAGCTAATTTTGGAGATGCTTTTATCAATATAATAAAGATTGAGTGTTAAAAATTTTTTAGAAAGATATATTAAATTCATACCAAATAATAATAAAGAAACTTGATATTTCCAATGTTTTAAAAATTCCCTTACGGTATAATAGTTCATTAAAAATTAGTAGTAACCACATATTTTATCAATCATGGCACAAAAATGGGGTGACTTTTCTGGGCGATTTGTTTAATAAACAATGTGAATTCTTGTCAAAACAAGAACTAGAAATAAAATATAACTTGAAAATACAATCATTCTTGAAATACCATGGTCTGATAAACTGTATAAAAAAATATTTTAAAACAAAAAATATCCAAAATACCATAAGTACATCACCAACTACACGTCCTTTTATTCCTATATACTAGAACAAATTTTAAAAAACTCTTCAGGATGCCAAAATATATATAATCTTTTAACTAAATCAGAGGCCTGTCCAACTGCAATTTCTAAATGGAATAAAATTTTTGATATTGACTGGAAATTTACTCTTGGCAATCACTTCAATTTAATTCCAGATTCAAATTTACAATGGTTTCAGTTCAGATTGTTACACAGGATTCTACCAACAAAATCGTATCTAAAATTAATTAAAATCTCGGAATTTAATACTTGTACTTTTTGTAAGACACATGTAGAAGATTTTTATTTCTTGTTCATATGTTTCTTCACTATGGAAAGATTTATCAAACCTTCTCAAGGAAAATAATACTGATTTTGAATTTACAACTACTATTATCATATTTGGGATAAATAACCATCCACATCAAATTCCTCTAAATATCATGATTTTACTATGCAAATATTTCATCTATACATGCGCAAAAAACAATAATCCACCCTCTTTTAGAAAACTAATTACCTATTTACAAAAATATATCTTAATATTACAGACAGGGTCCAAACTTAGTCAAACTACATATGCAACAGAATTTAGGAATATGTGCAGATCCTTAAAGCCTTAATCGAGATATAATATGAGCCTATATATTATATATTTACTTCTGTTTAATATTATTTGATTTTCATTTTATTATAATGAATTATTATAGTTTTATAAGTTATTATTTGATTTAAAATACATATATATGACTCTGTAAGACAATTAGCCAAGGCCCTATCATTGGTAATGGGAAAATAGGATTGAAAAAAAAAAAAAAGAAAAAATCTGGTAATCAATGAGCCATGGTCAGATTTGTCTGTTTGTCTAACACTTGTTTGAGGAGAGAGTCTTTTAAGATCTGGACTGAGCGTTCTGCAGCCCCATTGGATGCAGGATGGTCAGCAGGCACTAACGTTTGTTTCAAAAATTGTTCGAATTCAACCGAATTAAACTGTGGGCCATTGTCTGAAACTAACCTCTCGGGTAAACCCTAGGCAGCAAAAATGGTACGTAACACTTCGATGGTCTTCCCACTAGTTGCTGAATGTTTATGAACATTACATATGTGCACCACTACGATCCATTTCGAATGGCTGTCAATTAGCACCAGAAAAGATTGTTGGTCTTTTTCTGAAAAATCCACATGAATACGTTCCCAAACCCGGGTTGGCCACATCCAAGGTGCCAGTAGTTTTCTCACAGACTGACAAACTCCACACGACCCAACCATTTGTTCAACATCGTGGTCCAACCCTGGCCACCATAAATAACATCTCCCCAAGGACTTCATTCTGCAGAACCTGGATGTTGTTCATGCAATTTCTGCTAACAGGCGAGTCTCACGAGTTCCTTCTCTACTGCTTCTTTCAGTGCATACGGGACTGGATGAGCTTTCTTAAGATCGGTGGCGCCTCCTTTGACAACATTATATCCGCCTTATAAGTCTTTTAACGTACCAATGTTTTTATTGAACAAATTTGGATATTTTTTCAATAACACGTTTATCTCAGCATGCTCAATCTGGATTTTGAAATTTTGACCAATCCAGTTTTATTTATGACCAGTCTGTCACGTAATGCGTCATCTAAGAATGTCCGAAAATCACAGGTTTTGGCTAGGCTCTTAAGTTCAACAATGTATGAGGCTACCGTTTCTCCTTCCCTCTGATTCCTGGAGTGAAATTTATACCTCTCAAAAATGATCAGTGGTTTTGTTTCAAAGTGCCCCTTCAAGGTATCAACATTCTCTGCAAAAGTTCTGTCGTTTGGACTAACAGGAGCGACCAGGTTCTTTAACAACCTATATGTTTTTGGTCTGACGACTGTAAGAAACGCTGAAGCTTTTTTATCATCTTCAAAATCGTTCACCACAAAAAAACTGTTCGAGTCTCTTGATGTAGTTTTCGAATGTTTCTTCAGAGTCGTTGAAAGCTTCAATTTTTCCGATATGGGCTGCCGCCATCGTGAAATATTCAACTGAATATTCCTACTTGAGTTGATCTTCAGCTAGCTATCCTCGTCGCCACTAATATTTTGGGGGGTTCAGCTGAATATCGCAGCATGAAAAAGCATGACTCAACAAGATGGCTGTCTGGTACAATCTGTTTATTCAAAAGAATGACATGCGCAGAGGTTGCCAAGCAGATAGTTAGTCGTACCATCCGATAAGTATACAAACCAATAAGAAAGAGTAACATCCGATAAATTAATAGATGTATGAAAATACTACAGATATAAAACTGTTTTCAACATTGTATTGAATTCTCCAGGGTGTTTAATTGTTTCTATCGGATTTGAACCAGCTTCCAAAACCATCTCGCTAAATAAAGATGAAAAGAAATTGTTTTTTAACGTTGTATTAGTTTGTGGTACACGATTTTCATTGAGAGTTCCATCTTTAATTTTGAAATCGCATCTGAAATAAGCATCGGAAAGAAGCAACCAATTCGTTAATTAAATGAATTAATTTCGAAGGTAATTCTACCACCATCATTCAACTTTTTTTTTCTTGTTAAACGATTAACGAATTGGATCATATAATTTAAAGATTGAATCTAGTATGTAATTTTTATTTGCCATTTTTAAGGTTTAAAATTGGAGTAGAAATTGTGGTCTGTTTTTGAATTTGAGTTAATTTTAATAATGAAATGTAGGGTGAATAGGTTCTTTTTCGGGTGGGAATTGATGGAATGTAGGGTGAGTATGGAGTAGGAATTGATTGAAGGTGTTTTTGGTGTAGGAATTTATGGAATGCAGGGTGTTTAGATGTTTTTGGGACCTTTCAATATGTTCGCACTTTCCGAACACGTTTCGGAATCCCCTTGCGAACATATTGAAAGGTCTAGTACTACTTTAATCTGTCAATAACTCGAAAACCATTCAAGGAAATATTGTCAATATCAATCTT